GACGGTAGTCAACAGAACGGGAACAGTAGTAGCGGCGGTTTTTACGCTAACAATGGTGGTTTGGGGTTTGGATTTGGTCAGCCTAATCAAAACAATATATCGTTCAACGGTAATAATAGTTCGATGATCTTGAATCAAGCACCTGGTTTAGGCCTCAAAGTTGGTGGAACAATGCAGCAACAGAGACTGCCTCCAACTATTTTTCCGAAACAAGCGAATGTAGCATTTGCAACGCCTATGAGTATGGTTAATAAGAGTTTATATGAGGCTGGTGCAGATGGTCCGGTCAACAATAATAGTGGTTTAGCTGCTATGGGAGGAGCAGGGGTTACCGTTGCAGCTACTTCTCCAGGGACGAGCAGTGCAGAAAACAATACTTGGTCATCACCAGTTCCGTATGTGTTTGGTCGAGGAAGAAGAAGCAATACGGGCCTCGAGAAGGTTGTTGAGAGAAGGCAAAAGAGAATGATCAAGAACCGGGAATCCGCTGCTAGATCAAGGGCTCGAAAGCAGGTAAAGTGTTAATCTAAGCTGTTCATTACCGTATTATTTTCAAGAACTTTGTTATTGATATCGATTTTCCGGTCTAACCACAGGCTTACACCTTGGAATTGGAAGCCGAGATTGAAAATCTCAAGCAACTGAATCAAGATTTGAAGACAAAACAGGTTTTCTTTTCGTACCACTTTTTGCATGCTTCGCCTTACACTGGCTCAGTTCTTAAACTTAGTTTCCACTATGATTGATGCAGGCTGAAATCATGAAATCCCAGAAGAATGAGGTAAAACCGTTTTTAGACTTTCTTATTTTTCGTTGTGGTTTTGTATCTCTATTGTCTATTTGGTGGTACTGTTCAGTCACTGATACTGCTTTTTGAATTGACAGCTAAAGGAATCGTCGAAGCAGCCTCCATGGCTGGCCAAAACACAATGCTTGAGAAGAACCCTTACCGGTCCATGGTAAGAAGGCGAATTAAAAGCAAGAAGAGTCTTGGTTATGTAATACAACACTCATCAAAAGGAAGAATTTGGAATTAGCTTTGTGACTTGGGAGACTAAAATGTAACAGAAGATAGTACTACTGTACAGGAGAGATACAGAGACGCTTACAATGTAGAAAAAACTTTTGAGCTGAATCTACTAATATGAGAGTCTTCAACATGA